GTCTCCGTTTTTAAACACTTGTGCGATACTATATTGAAATGCTCTTTGCAGAAGGTGGCCTGACAATGCTTGCAAACAAACGGCAAGAAGTCCAACAATTTGCAGTCTGCCACCGAACATTGTTTGCCAGTCGCCGGAAATTCCATTATAGCGACAAAAGGATATCAATATTATAACTGGATTTAATACTTCGGATACTGTATTTAATTTTTCGGCGTTCAGGAAGAGTGGAAGCGATATTTAGTTGTGCAGTGGCGTCGGAGAATGCAGATGATTGTCGCTGAGAGAGCTTAAAGCCAGATTATTCCACTTCTGCTCCAACTCTTTCAATGTCATGTGCGAGTCGCCGTTGTCGCTCTCGGGATCCGGGAGCTCGGCCACCGGTGTCGAGATGTCGTCGATGGGTAGACGTTCCTTACGCCAGCCCTCGTCGATCACGTCTATCAGCCTGCCGTCTCCGCACACCTGACTGTCCATCCCGCAAACGACAGTCAACACACGTTAGGCTTGAGAAAACATCGTACTTACAATACTATCTTAACAGATTAATGAATATTATGCTGTTTGAATATTATGTACATATATATCTATATCTATGTGGAATTAAACACATTTATGTCATTTGATCGAAGCAAGTCAAATATCTGGACCTTACAGAAGTCAAACTGATCAACTCCACTCTTTGTAAATTTTTTGGTAATTATACAATTTTAGGGGCCTCACCTCAAATATCGATGAAATTTATGCTCAATCGACGCGTTTTTACACGAAACGAAAGAATCTGGCAGAAAAACGTGTCGCCTGTGCCCCGCGACGCGAGATATTAAACGTTAAAGTTGACCGGAATCAATCAAGTTATGATTTCTGTCGAACCGACGAGATCAGACGAGATGTAGTTACCCTGCGTTCCGTAACGGGCGTAACGTGCATATGCGCCGCGCATTTATCTATAGTATACGTAACGTTTACTATAGAAAATGCACGCACATGCGCGTTACGGAACGTGGCCCCAACACTGACCCCGTCTTCCTTTTTTACTGGCAGTGCTGAAAATATATAGTTTGCGTCACGTAACTATAGATTTTCCACATACGCATGTTCAGTACAGTAACCCTACGCGCATGTAAAAGTGCGCGAATTTGAAACGTATGTATACTTAATTTGAGATAAATCCTTCCTCGTACTGGTTACCGAACACTTGGTCTTTATATCCTT